GGCAATGCACAGAAGGCTGCGGATCGCCAGCAGGCAGGACGTGTGTCAGGCCCCTTTCACTGATGACCTGTGTGTGGTGGGGGAGTGGTCAAACGAGCCCACAGCTCCGAAGCCCCCGTACCGGGCGTTCCCCGGCACACAGAAACCACTGGACGTCCCCCTCAGTCACACACTGTTGGTCAGAGCCCAGATAGAGCCCAGGGGCTCCGCAAATGCCCATCTCACAGCGGAGGAAGTAGGGCCCGTTGACTTCGCCTGTGTCAGTCGTGACCCAGGGTCAGGGCCGGGCCTGGCACCTGACCTCACGGCTGGGGCGGCACAGAGCCCTGATCTCCCAACAACACCCCCGCTGGAGCAGTGCTGGTCCTCCATCGATCAGCGCCACCACAAGGATGCGCGGGGGACAGCTGTGTCCCCGGGGGCCGAGCAGGGCTCAGGGGAGGCCCTGAGAGAAGAGGCTCTGGGGATGGAGGGTCCTGGAGCCAGGACTGTACGCAGCAGCTGAAGCCGAGGACGCTGCAGGGGCACCAGACGCAGCACTGGCCCCGGCCTCAGCCCCAGCTCCGCAAGTCCCTTCTGCTGCAGCCCCAGTGCCACACCTGGCCTTCCCCGCCCCCGTCGTCCTGTATTTCTCTTTACTCCTCCCCACTCTCTTCCTTTTCTCCACCTTATTGTCCCTGAACCTCAATAAAATGTAAGTTGTTACCCACTGTGGAATGTACAATTTGCACCGTGCCAGCTCCCCAGGCCGTGCCCTCCCCACCCCACTCTCCCTGCACCATGGCTCCAATGCCCGGGACCTGCATCCTCTGCAGAGGACACGGGCACCTCCCCAGGGGCAGAGCCAACGTTCCCCGTTTGGACAAAGAGCACCACATGCTGGGAAGGCCAAGGGAAGCAAGGAACAGGGAGACGCTGGCATGGCTGGGGCAGCGCCTCCTCATGCTCAGGGACGCAGACTCTGAGGTCACAGAACGCACCTGCCGGGGGTGCTGTCCCCGCAGCCTCAGTGTCCTCATCTGTGCAATGGGAAGGCAGCCCTGCCACAGCCATCACCGCATCAGGGAATGCGATGCTCTGCACCTCCCTGCACACAATGGGAGCCCCCAGCTTCCAGGATGAGGGGTGCACAGGGAGTGGGTTGGGGGCTTCCACGGAGGGAACACAATCCGTCCAGGGACACACACAAACAACACCTGTCACAGGCTCTGGCCCTGTGCTCAACAACGGGTCACTGACAGACGGATCACAGCAGGGATGTGCTCACTGCACAGGAGACAGGGGGGCCTTGTCCAGGACCCCACGTGACCCAGACTGCCCGCTGTGCAGGCCACATGGGTGGGTCTCGGCTGGGAAGATGGAGACACAGAGCATGTCCCCAAGGACGGGGGCTGCTCCTTCCCCGAGCTCCTGGGATTTCCGGGTCCCTGGCCACGTCCACCAGGCACCTTGTCTCAGCCATGGGGTGACACTGGCTTCACTCCCATTGGCAGATGAGGAACCCCCTGAGAGGGAGGCCCCGCCCAGGTCAGGGCTGTGCCGATCCCAGAAGAGGACTCCCCTCCCCACGGGAGCCCGGACTCTGGGACCCTATGGGCCTGTGGGCCAGCAAGAGGGCAGCACAGCAGGGAGCACAGGGGTCAGGAACGCTATGACTTTCTCCAACAGATCACACCCTGAAGATTTTCTGATCGAATGCCTCAGATGTTCTACTAGGGCTGAGGGGTGCCTGTGGAGGAGGAAGCCGGGGCCCTGGGGGGCTGACCTGTGTGTGTTCCTGGGAATGGCCTGCATCACACCCAGTGACATCACTGTCCCCCCACAGTCCTTCTGCAACATGTCAAGGATCACCACCATGCTCCGCCCTGCACACCTGTCCAGTGGAACCCAGGCGCAGTCCACCTGCAGTTAGTGATGGTCTTAGGTGCACGTGACAGCAGCGTCCCTGGGCGTTCCATTGCACAGCTCTGGCATGGAGAAGACCAGAGATCTGTGCTCCCCACACTGGCCTGCCGCAGGGAGGGGGCCCATGGCAGGGCGCTGAGCTGAGACATCAACATTCAGAACCAGCAGAGGACATGAGGTCAGGCTCCTTGCAGGCCCACAGCCCAAGGCCAGATCACGACCACCCTTGGGGCTTTCGGGAATGCAGGAGGCTCTTCCTGCCAACGACCTGCCACACAGGACGTGACAGCACACGGCTAGCTTCCCGTCCCACTCTGTACGTCCTGGGTGTGCTAAGCCTAGGTTGACAGCGTCGCTTTTCCCAGGTACATTCATGTGCTCCTGGGTCAGCATGCAAAAGTGCTTTCCGAAAGTTCAGAGTCATCTCTCATCCTGAGCATTCTTGCCCTGTGCCCACCTACTGCCCCACATGCTGACTAGGAGACCCGCTCAGGCCCCTCCCCTCCGGGTCATCTGCACTCTCAGGCTTCATGTTCTGCTGTATTCACCCGCCCCGCACTTCTAAATGCCCGCAAGACCTTCCCAGTGTCACATGCCAACCATGACACAGGACAGGCTTCTCCAGTACCAGCCTGGCTCGTTCCCATCATTCCTTGTTTCTGCCTGCTTTTCCCCATCGCCCGAGTCCTGCACATCCTCTCCTTCTGAGTGTCACCTCCCTACCTGCACGTGCCCTCAGGACAGCTCAATTCCACCTACAGCATGAAAAAGCCACCTCCAACAGGGATCCTGAGCTCTGATGGAGGTCGGGAAGGTAGACTCGGGCACCTGTTACAACGTGGATTCCCCCTTCTCTGATTCAGGGGTCCTGAGAGGCAGAACATCCTTTCACAGGAACCCCTGGAAGGTTTTCCGCCACCTAGGCCCATGGGGCTGGCGCTGTGGCCCACAGGCTAAAGCCCCACCTGCAGGGCTGGCATCCCACATCAGAACCCCGGTTCTGCTCCTGGAGCCCTGCTTTCATTCCAGCTCCCTGCTCACACACCTGGCAGAGCAGCACAAGTTGACCCAAGTGCCCCCGGCCCTGCCACCTGTGTGCCAGGCCCAGAAGGTGTTCCAGGCTCCTGGCTTCAGCCTGACTCAGCCTCAGCCAGCATGGGCTTCTGGGAGATTAAATCAGCAATTCAGAGTCATCCTTCTGGATCTCTCTCCCTGTCCCTTCCTCCAACTCTGCCTTTCAAGTCAACAACTGAAAAGAAGAAGAGAAGAGAAGAGAAGAGAAGAGAAGAGAAGAGAAGAGAAGAGAAGAGAAGAGAAGAGAAGAGAAGAGAAGAGAAGAGAAGAGAAGAGAAGAGAGAAGGGAGGGGAGGGGAGGGGAAGGGAAGGGAAGGGAAGGGAAGGGAAGGGAAGGGAAGGGAAGGGAAGGGAAGGGAAGGGAAGGGAAGGGAAGGGAAGGGAAGGGAAGGGACAAGACGACATCCTGGGGCGGCGCTGTGGCATAGTAGGTTGAACATCTGCCTATGACATCGAGATACCATATGGGCACCGGTTGGAGTCCCAGCTGCTCCACTTCCAATGCAGCTCTCTGCTAAGACACGAGAAGGCAGTGGAACATGGGCCATGGACTTGGCCCCCTTATCCACGTGGTAGACCCAGAAGAAGCTCCTGGCTCCTGGCTTTGGATCAGCTCAGCACCGGCTGTTGTGGCCCTTTGGGGAGTGACCCATTGGATCAAAGACCTCTCTGTCTCTCTTTCTCCCTCTCTCTCTCCCTCTCTCTCTCTGTCTCTCTTGCCTCTTTCTCTCCTGTCACTCTGCCAGTGAAGTAAATAAATCAATCTTAACAACAACAACAAAAAACCCTGAGCCCAAACTTAGATGAAAGTGGCTGCACTCCTGGGTCGGCAGTGTAGAGCAGTAGGTTAAGCCTCCACCTGCGGCGCCAGCATCCCATATGGGCACTGGCTTGTGTGCTGGCTGCTCCACTTCCACCCAGCTCCCTGGTGATGGCCTGCGAAAGCAATGAAGATGGCCCAAGTCCTTGGACCCCTGCACCCATGCCGCCGGAGACCTGTAGACGCTCTCAGCTCCTGGCCTCCGATTAGCCCATTTGAGGACACTGTGGCCAGTAGCGGATTGAACCAGCACATGGAAGACCTCTCTGTCTCTCCCTCTCTGTGTCTCACTCTACTTCTCAGAGAAAGAAGGAAAAGAGTATTCAAAGCACAGCAGCAGCTTAACTCCTCCCAGAAACTTTTCACAGGAGGTCTTTACTATCGAGAGTACACCCAAATAGCATCTTTTCAGGCTCTGGTTGGGGGACAGGAGAGCTCCCCACAGGGAAGGGCCACGGGCCACTGCCATCTAAACCACTCGACATCGCCAGTGCTGCCACCGTCAGCACCAACCCCGGCACATGAGCCTGTCCCTCATCTTTCAGGGAAGGACATTCCCACAACAGGGAACTAGCCATTAGCTAACAGGAAGGACACGCACACTATGTGTCCCCACCACGGCCATCTACTCCCCAGACATTCCTCACTGAACCACGCCCAACACCACTCCTGATCTCTCCCCACGCCCCTGTCCAAACCCAACACGGAACAGCCCCGGTGTCTAGGGTCTCCTCAGGACGCTGGATGGAAACACTCTCTCACACATGCCACCTATCCCGTCTGGCTCCTCACACTGACCTCCCTCAGGCTCATGGCAGGCCCAGACCCCAGAGATGGCTGGCACGATCCCTACCAGCCCTGGGGAACAATCAGCAAGTGCAGGGCCACGGTAGTCATCACCCTGGTCCTCAGAGAGCCGGCCCTGAGCCCAACCAACTCCCCTGGGAGTCTGAATGAGCTTCAAGAACCACTGTGCACTGCTAAAGCCCCAGATCCTGCAGGACCCAAAGGACCACCCCACGACTCCTCCGGGGTGCAGGCCAGAGCTAGGAGCACTCAGTTCTCCACTGACCATCAGCTCCCTAGAGCAGACAGCCCCAGGTGCACACGGGGCAACTGAGTCTGGGTGGTCGCAGCCTCGTTTTGGGCTTTGAGAGAGAAGAACCACCCTCCAGGTGCCTGTGGCTGGGAGGAGCCACACTTCAGGGGCTGGGACAGGGCTCCCAATGCACAGGGAGCGGCTCCCGGTCGGTCTCAGGGTGTGATGGGAGCTCTTGCTCCTCAGGGTCCACAGCTGGGCAGCTGAGGGCGCCAGCTTCACTGGGACACGATCCCCAGGGACCACACGGGAGGCTGGGGCGTCTTGACAGGGACAATGACCATGCAGGGTGAGAAGCCCTCAAGCAGGGGGGAACAGGTCTAGCCCAGCTGTGACAAAGGCTGGACCCACACCTGCTGTGGCAGGCGGAGGCTTCCCCCTGTTGGTGCGACGGGGGACAGTGTGCACAGGGCATGGCTTAGAAGTGCAGCAGGCAGCGCCCGCTGGGACTCGGCAGCCATCTTGTGTGAGAGGAGGGGGCTCAGTTGAGGAGCCACAGGAAGTGACCTCACCTGGAGACCTGGGGGGCCCGGCAACAACCCCAACATTCCAGAGTTGAGTCTGAACCAGCTCACCTGGATAGAGTCTCGCAGGAAGATGTTCCTGAGTTGTATCCCGCGATGCCCAAGCCCAGCCCCCAAGAAACCCTGCGGTGGGTGCCTCGCCCAGTGGTGGGGACGCTGGGCCAGCCCTCACCCCCGACGCTCCTGGTGCTTCCAACAGAAAACGGCCATGGTGAGTCTGGAAGCAGGACAGGTCTCTGCGGGCCAGGACACCACTGGGAACCCACCCGAAGCCCATAGGCCCCTGGGGGTGGGTGTGGGTGTGGGTGTGGGGGGCAAGGGGCCACTTCCCTCTCAGAGGAGGGAGGCTGGAAGTCCTAGGTGGAGGCAGCCTGAGGCCCAGAGCTCCTGGCTGCGGAGGGATCCAGGGACTGCCTCTTACCTGCCATTCTCTGCTCTTGTCTCCCAGGGCCAGGACAGGTCAGCCTCGCGCCTGGCAATGCACAGAAGGCTGCGGATCGCCAGCAGGCAGGACGTGTGTCAGGCCCCTTTCACTGATGACCTGTGTGTGGTGGGGGAGTGGTCAAACGAGCCCACAGCTCCGAAGCCCCCGTACCGGGCGTTCCCCGGCACACAGAAACCACTGGACGTCCCCCTCAGTCACACACTGTTGGTCAGAGCCCAGATAGAGCCCAGGGGCTCCGCAAATGCCCATCTCACAGCGGAGGAAGTAGGGCCCGTTGACTTCGCCTGTGTCAGTCGTGACCCAGGGTCAGGGCCGGGCCTGGCACCTGACCTCACGGCTGGGGCGGCACAGAGCCCTGATCTCCCAACAACACCCCCGCTGGAGCAGTGCTGGTCCTCCATCGATCAGCGCCACCACAAGGATGCGCGGGGGACAGCTGTGTCCCCGGGGGCCGAGCAGGGCTCAGGGGAGGCCCTGAGAGAAGAGGCTCTGGGGATGGAGGGTCCTGGAGCCAGGACTGTACGCAGCAGCTGAAGCCGAGGACGCTGCAGGGGCACCAGACGCAGCACTGGCCCCGGCCTCAGCCCCAGCTCCGCAAGTCCCTTCTGCTGCAGCCCCAGTGCCACACCTGGCCTTCCCCGCCCCCGTCGTCCTGTATTTCTCTTTACTCCTCCCCACTCTCTTCCTTTTCTCCACCTTATTGTCCCTGAACCTCAATAAAATGTAAGTTGTTACCCACTGTGGAATGTACAATTTGCACCGTGCCAGCTCCCCAGGCCGTGCCCTCCCCACCCCACTCTCCCTGCACCATGGCTCCAATGCCCGGGACCTGCATCCTCTGCAGAGGACACGGGCACCTCCCCAGGGGCAGAGCCAACGTTCCCCGTTTGGACAAAGAGCACCACATGCTGGGAAGGCCAAGGGAAGCAAGGAACAGGGAGACGCTGGCATGGCTGGGGCAGCGCCTCCTCATGCTCAGGGACGCAGACTCTGAGGTCACAGAACGCACCTGCCGGGGGTGCTGTCCCCGCAGCCTCAGTGTCCTCATCTGTGCAATGGGAAGGCAGCCCTGCCACAGCCATCACCGCATCAGGGAATGCGATGCTCTGCACCTCCCTGCACACAATGGGAGCCCCCAGCTTCCAGGATGAGGGGTGCACAGGGAGTGGGTTGGGGGCTTCCACGGAGGGAACACAATCCGTCCAGGGACACACACAAACAACACCTGTCACAGGCTCTGGCCCTGTGCTCAACAACGGGTCACTGACAGACGGATCACAGCAGGGATGTGCTCACTGCACAGGAGACAGGGGGGCCTTGTCCAGGACCCCACGTGACCCAGACTGCCCGCTGTGCAGGCCACATGGGTGGGTCTCGGCTGGGAAGATGGAGACACAGAGCATGTCCCCAAGGACGGGGGCTGCTCCTTCCCCGAGCTCCTGGGATTTCCGGGTCCCTGGCCACGTCCACCAGGCACCTTGTCTCAGCCATGGGGTGACACTGGCTTCACTCCCATTGGCAGATGAGGAACCCCCTGAGAGGGAGGCCCCGCCCAGGTCAGGGCTGTGCCGATCCCAGAAGAGGACTCCCCTCCCCACGGGAGCCCGGACTCTGGGACCCTATGGGCCTGTGGGCCAGCAAGAGGGCAGCACAGCAGGGAGCACAGGGGTCAGGAACGCTATGACTTTCTCCAACAGATCACACCCTGAAGATTTTCTGATCGAATGCCTCAGATGTTCTACTAGGGCTGAGGGGTGCCTGTGGAGGAGGAAGCCGGGGCCCTGGGGGGCTGACCTGTGTGTGTTCCTGGGAATGGCCTGCATCACACCCAGTGACATCACTGTCCCCCCACAGTCCTTCTGCAACATGTCAAGGATCACCACCATGCTCCGCCCTGCACACCTGTCCAGTGGAACCCAGGCGCAGTCCACCTGCAGTTAGTGATGGTCTTAGGTGCACGTGACAGCAGCGTCCCTGGGCGTTCCATTGCACAGCTCTGGCATGGAGAAGACCAGAGATCTGTGCTCCCCACACTGGCCTGCCGCAGGGAGGGGGCCCATGGCAGGGCGCTGAGCTGAGACATCAACATTCAGAACCAGCAGAGGACATGAGGTCAGGCTCCTTGCAGGCCCACAGCCCAAGGCCAGATCACGACCACCCTTGGGGCTTTCGGGAATGCAGGAGGCTCTTCCTGCCAACGACCTGCCACACAGGACGTGACAGCACACGGCTAGCTTCCCGTCCCACTCTGTACGTCCTGGGTGTGCTAAGCCTAGGTTGACAGCGTCGCTTTTCCCAGGTACATTCATGTGCTCCTGGGTCAGCATGCAAAAGTGCTTTCCGAAAGTTCAGAGTCATCTCTCATCCTGAGCATTCTTGCCCTGTGCCCACCTACTGCCCCACATGCTGACTAGGAGACCCGCTCAGGCCCCTCCCCTCCGGGTCATCTGCACTCTCAGGCTTCATGTTCTGCTGTATTCACCCGCCCCGCACTTCTAAATGCCCGCAAGACCTTCCCAGTGTCACATGCCAACCATGACACAGGACAGGCTTCTCCAGTACCAGCCTGGCTCGTTCCCATCATTCCTTGTTTCTGCCTGCTTTTCCCCATCGCCCGAGTCCTGCACATCCTCTCCTTCTGAGTGTCACCTCCCTACCTGCACGTGCCCTCAGGACAGCTCAATTCCACCTACAGCATGAAAAAGCCACCTCCAACAGGGATCCTGAGCTCTGATGGAGGTCGGGAAGGTAGACTCGGGCACCTGTTACAACGTGGATTCCCCCTTCTCTGATTCAGGGGTCCTGAGAGGCAGAACATCCTTTCACAGGAACCCCTGGAAGGTTTTCCGCCACCTAGGCCCATGGGGCTGGCGCTGTGGCCCACAGGCTAAAGCCCCACCTGCAGGGCTGGCATCCCACATCAGAACCCCGGTTCTGCTCCTGGAGCCCTGCTTTCATTCCAGCTCCCTGCTCACACACCTGGCAGAGCAGCACAAGTTGACCCAAGTGCCCCCGGCCCTGCCACCTGTGTGCCAGGCCCAGAAGGTGTTCCAGGCTCCTGGCTTCAGCCTGACTCAGCCTCAGCCAGCATGGGCTTCTGGGAGATTAAATCAGCAATTCAGAGTCATCCTTCTGGATCTCTCTCCCTGTCCCTTCCTCCAACTCTGCCTTTCAAGTCAACAACTGAAAAGAAGAAGACAAGAAGAGAAGAGAAGAGAAGAGAAGAGAAGAGAAGAGAAGAGAAGAGAAGAGAAGAGAAGAGAATGAGGAAGAGAGGAGGGAGGGAAGGAAGGGAAGGGAAGGGAAGGGAAGGGAAGGAAGGGAAGGGAAGGGAAGGGAAGGGAAGGGAAGGGACAGGGACAAGACGACATCCTGGGGCGGCGCTGTGGCATAGTAGGTTGAACATCTGCCCTATGACATCGAGATACCATATGGGCACCGGTTGGAGTCCCAGCTGCTCCACTTCCAATGCAGCTCTTGCTAAGACACGAGAAGGCAGTGGAACATGGGCCATGGACTTGGCCCCCTTATCCACGTGGTAGACCCAGAAGAAGCTCCTGGCTCCTGGCTTGGATCAGCTCAGCACGGCTGTTGTGGCCCTTTGGGGAGTGACCCATTGGATCAAGACTCTCTGTCTCTCTTTCTCCCTCTCTCCTCTCCCTCTCTCTCTCTGTCTCTCTTGCCTCTTTCTCTCCTGTCACTCTGCAGTGAAGTAAATAAATCAATCTTAACAACAACAACAAAAAACCCTGAGCCCAAACTTAGATGAAAGTGGCTGCACTCCTGGGGTCGGCAGTGTAGAGCAGTAGGTTAAGCCTCCACCTGCGGCGCCAGCATCCCATATGGGCACTGGCTTGTGTGTGGCTGCTCCAACTTCACCCAGCTCCCTGGTGATGGCCTGCGAAAGCAATGAAGATGGCCCAAGTCCTTGGACCCCTGCACCCATGCCGCCGGAGACCTGTAGACGCTCTCAGCTCCTGGCCTCCGATTAGCCCATTGAGGACCACTGTGGCCAGTTAGCGGATTTGAACCAGCACATGGAAAGACCTCTCTGTCTCTCCCCTCTCTGTGTCTCACTCTACTTCTCAGAGAAAGAAGGAAAAGAGTATTCAAAGCACAGCAGCAGCTTAACTCCTCCCAGAAACTTTTCACAGGAGGTCTTTACTATCGAGAGTACACCCAAATAGCATCTTTTCAGGCTCTGGTTGGGGGACAGGAGAGCTCCCCACAGGGAAGGGCCAC